TATATTTATTTCAAAATATTATTTTTATTTCAATGTATTTAAAAAATTAGAATTTCATTTGTAAATTCTATACCAATGTTGATATAAATTACGCTTTTTCTTCAGTTAGAGAATGGCCGCGTCTCCAATCAATGTAATTATTAAGTAAATCCGTTGAAAAAAGGAAAGTATGTAAAGGAAAGCATGTCCGTACAAACGATCCTTCGAGATTTATATCATATAAATTACGAAAACGTGTATTAATTGTTGTCGTACATCAGCGCACAATGGCTGCGTTTAGCATGCCATCATGATTGGTTTATACGTTTAGATCTGTAAGGAACCAAAAGCAAGAACCAATCGTATTGAAGAATTTTACAGCAGTTGCAAAGCTGCTTTCTCTGCTGAACGTTTATTTTGCAACTGTTGGAAGTTTCCTTCGCGCTAATTGGATCATACTTTTAGAAGAATGGTCCTATCTCAGCAGACAATCATAAAACGGTTGCAAAACTGTTGAGTCTGCTGAACGCAGCCATTGATTTTCTGATCCAATACAACAGGATTACGTATGTCGCTTACATATATCCTATTGTGTTAACGCTATCTACAGTCATCAAAGTACAACTATTTCTATTTCAGGACTTGGATCGAGAACTCGGACGGATTTCTAGCATCGTGGACACAAGCCTTTAAGCAATAGAGATAAACCTAGATTATTTTAATACTACTTATTCCTATGATTCCATAACTTAAGAAAAGCAATATTTCCTAAACGAAGTATTTACGAGCAAACTTCCAGAGGAAAATTTCGTTTGCATATTATTGTTCTATGCTATATATATCTAAACTATATCTATACTATATCTGCGTTTTGTGTATTATAGCCATAACTCTTTTTAAGATAGAGATGTTATAAAGAATAATCAAATACGAATAATAACAAATAAAGAATAATAAAAATTATAATAATTTTAGGCACGACCGTATGTATGAATATATCAAATACGATAAAGAAAGCCATGATCGGTCAAAGTTAGATGTTTCAGAATAATATATCATCATGGCTTCCTTTATCGTATTTGATGTATTCATACATACGATCGTGCCTAAAATTATTATAATTTTTATTATTCTTTATTTGTTATTATTCGTATTTGATGTATTCATACATACGGTCGTGCCTAAAATTATTATGTTATAAAATAATTTCATACCTGATGATACCGGTGCTTGTCCTTCTACAGACTGCCCAATGGTATCTACTATTTCAAAACTGCCTTCAGCATCGCCTCCTGGACCAACTTTTAAATTTCCAAATTTTCCAGATAGTTCATCTATAAAATATTATTTATGTTTACAATATTTGTAGTTGCACCCGTATAGCATACTTTATCCGAAAGACATCCAAAGAATATCCTTAAGATATTCAAAAGATATAGGGATATCCTTTGGTTATCTTTAGGCCATCCCTTGGAAGTCTGTGCTATATGGATGTGTATAATACAAACGAATCAGTTTGACTCAAATGCATACAATACAAAATGAACAATATGTATCTAAATTTTAAAAATATTTTTTTATTTATATACATATATATACTTCTGTTTACCTTCAGTTTGACCTGCACCTGCTGCAGCCAGAGTTACAGCCATCGGTGTAATGTCATCTTCTAAACCAGCTAACTGATCCTGCTCCCTTGCCAAGAACTCTGCAGCTGGATCTACATCAGGTTCGTTGACAAAATTGTCGCCAAATGCATCCATTGTCTGAAAAACATTGAAAGGAAATCAAGACTCATGTATATATATATATATATATACTTGTCAAAAAATAAAATGTTTCTAAAATATCATTTATGTTTATAAAATATCTCTACTGACTACATAGGGATAATTAAAACAACAACGAGGACGATATAAAGGTATACATATGTAAAATACAATATGTAAAAATAAAGTATATCTTGAAAAAAAAAAAAGAAATCAAACGTCAGCAACATGAAATGTTTAAGGTTAACTAAACCTCTTGTTAATCTAAATAAAATCAGTGTAACGTTTATTTATCTGAGAGAAACTCTTATTACTTGGTTCCTTACTTGGACAGTACCTGGCGCAAATTCTCGTTCGAGAAAAACTATGGAATGTGACACACGACTTTTTTATTAACAGAGAAAAACACCTCCAACTGTCTCCTCCTCACGCCTAGGATTGCTGGTAGGGATGTTCGATCCAATTCGATTTTGTAGAAAATCGATTCTTTTATCTTCGATTCTCGATTTTCTAGATCGATTCTTAAGATCCAATTAAATCGACGAATCGATTCTCAAGACCCAAGATTGGTCTTGAAATCTGTAAAAAATCTGTCCCGCGTCTCTCACTTGCTCTCGTTGTGCAGATATGTATAATGGAAGAAATCCGGACTGATCCGGACACAATACTTGACCAACTTTACAACAGTGACCCGGGTATGCTATTGAGCATATACGTGGCAAACATTTTCTAATAACTACCGTCAGACATTTTATCCGCCATGTTGCCGCGGTTATTTGAATTAGGTGCACATCAGCTGTGTCAAGATACTAATAAAACATAAAATTAGTATTACATTATCAGTTTCTTATTCTTAATAACTTAAATTTTTACAGTGACGCGAACTTCCATAAAATCAACAGTCTTGAATGGTATCTCGTCGGTATTGGAAGCAATTCTCGTGCATAATCTTCGACGTGTTATGTCCGCAGCACAGACTCTTGCATAGCGCATAATGCATAGTGCATAAGGGAATCGACCAATCGAAATTCTTCTTTTTCATGGAATGGAAGGAAAGAAAAGATTCTGATTAGTTGATTCGCTTATGCACTATGCGTTATGCATTATGCAAGAGTCTGTGCTGCGGCCATTAAGCGGAGAGCACAGACTCTTGCATAACGCGTAACATATAATGCATAAGAAGATAAACCAATAAAAATCCTTCATTTCCTTCTTTTCCATGAAATAAAGAACTATGATTGGTTGAATTTCTTATGCCTTATGTGTTACGCATTATGCAAGAGTCTGTGCTCCCTGCTTTACTTCAAAATTACCGTCATGCAAATGTTTAAATGGCCGCATTGGTATCTGCGCAGAACCATACGAAGTTCGTTCTTGAGGTCGAGCAGACCTGGATCTCTTTCACCATGGCTAAGTTTCCACCGAGGGTTAGAGTTGGGTCAGAGTACAAGAACTGACCAACCACAGTCAAGCATTCCCCTGTCATTCGACTATGACAGGGGAATACTCGACTGTGATTGGTCAGTTCTTGTACTCTGACCCAACTCTAACCCTCGATGGAAACTTAGCCCATGTAGTAGCTAAAGGCCACAGCACAGACTCTTGCATAACGCATAACGCATAGTGCATAAGCGAATCAACTAATCAGAATCTTTCCTTTTCTCCCATTCCATGGAAAAGAAGAATTTCGATTGGTCGATTCCCTTATGCACTATGCATTATGCGTTATGCAAGAGTCTGTGCTGCAGCCTTAATAGCGAATTCGATTGGATGCACTCAGTGCGCACTGGTGCACATTAAAGCCGTCGTACACCAAATAACGTAAAGATATATTTATAAATAAACATAGAAATTGATTAAATCTTGAAATACCCAATACATTTTATTGTACTATTAGGTAAAATATGTATTTCATAATTCGAAATATTTGCATTACATTTTGTACAATGGGTTTAATATGTATCAGTAGGTCTGTTCGCGTTGCTTGCACTTTCGGCACTCGGTATCTTCGCTTTCTTTCTTTTCAAGGTCAAATATATATCTATCTCATTTTAAGTGCAAAAATATTTGGGGATTTCATGCGCATTAGTGCTTCCAATCGAATTCGCCATAAGTATGTATTTTTGAAGCCGTATTTCAAGCCCATTTTTCGTCATAGAGTTTAATCTCCTTTTTATTCTTTATATTATAAATAGCCGGTAATGCTACAGCTACATTTTTTACTGTTCCTTGAAAGATCCACAAAACTCACGAAGACCGCAATCCAGTCAGAGGGCTGATATTAATACATATTTTTTAATTAAAGAAATCATCAATTTTTAATTTAAAGCGCAAGTTTGAAAGAAGTTAAAATGATATAATTTATAACGTGTTTTATGTATGTATGTATATTTTTTAAATATAAGAAATAGTTAAAAAATATTGTGTAGAATTTATTATAGAGATGTAATAATATATTTATTATAATATGTATCATAAGTTACATGTCATCATAAGTTTCTAATGGCGATATATTTTTTTGTTCTCAGCTGAATATAGTTGATTGAGTTCATTGGTGACCTAATTTCCTTATCAAGAGGCGATTTTTGGCGTGCTTCTAGTATAGGAACCACGACTAAGGTTATCTTTATTTTCAGGGACCAGAAGACAAAGATAGCCCAAACCGCGGTTGCTTTTGGTTGCTTTTGGTTGCAGAAGCATGCCAAAAATCGCCAAGATGGATCTTTGGTTGCAAATCGTCACATGCGTCCATCAATCGCCATTTTAGTGACCTAAATGCTAGATTGTCGCAGCGACGTGGATGCACATATAATTGATAACTATTGATAATGCATTGGATACACAGATAAGGTTCTTATTTATGAAATTAAGGTGACTCAGGATTATTTCCAATCATGCAATCGTTGAAAATGCTACGAGACAATAAAGGAGTACTGAAGCAATTTTGCAATTGTAAGATCTTGCGTGACAGCAGGATTCAGACAGAAGATCTATGGGTTCGAAATGGAAAGATAGTGAATCCAGAGAAGATTTTCTACGATGAGAAAATCAAGCCAGATGTTAAAATAGACTGTGGCGGCGCTTTGATCTCACCGGGATATATAGATGTGCAGATTAATGGTATTTAATCAAATAAATTCTTTTATACAACATATTTTACTTGAATAAAATCAAAGATCTTTCACACATACATATCGTTTTTACTTTTATTAAACAAAAAATTAATAATTTGTATATATCATAAATTGGAACTTAAAAATCTTTGAATGTAAAGTTTGATGCAAAATATAGATCATAAAATAGAGAGAGAACAATAGGAATATTCAAAATATTTTATCAAATTTAAAAGAAATCATGAGTTATTAAAATTAATGTAGATTCTGTAATATTTAATAAGAATCTTGAAATTTTATGCTTTTATAAATAAATCAATGATCTAATATCTGTATTTATTTATCAGGAGGATTTGGTATAGATTTTTCATGTAATATTGATAATGTGGAAGAAGGCATTGCTAAAGTAGCAAAGGGATTGTTGGAACATGGAGTGACATCTTTTTGCCCTACATTGGTTACATCTCCTACAGAGATATATCATAAAATCTTACCAAAAATAAAGAAACGAAATGGAGATAGCCATGGTGCTGGTGTACTAGGTGTTCATATAGAAGGACCATTTATTAGCCCAAACAAAAAAGGTGCTCATCCAGAACATTATATCAGAAAATTTGAACAGGTAATAATTATCTATTCTGAGTAAATTTATAAAATAATCAATATATTGTGCTAAATTTATATATTTTCTAATAGAAATTTAAATCAGTAACTGATATGTATGGTGATCTCGACAATGTATGTATGTTTACATTAGCACCTGAAATATCGAATGCTACATCTGTTATTGAAGAGTTATGTAGAAGAAATATTAAAGTATCTCTTGGTAAGTTGAAGTTTTAATATCTCTCAATGCTAATATACTTTTATGCTATAATTAAATGCAATTATAAAGGTTTCTTATTTTGGAGTTCTATATTTTAATTCTTATAATTTATATACATTGAATCTTGCAGATTGTTATAAAGTTCCTCTTTAACTCGATTTGTATGGCAATTTGTATGTTCTAGGACATTCTATAGCAAATTTAAATGAAGGAGAAAAAGCAGTTAAACATGGAGCATCGTTTATCACTCATCTATTCAATGCCATGTTGCCTGTGAGTGTAAAATACATAGATTTATGATACTGTTCGAAAATTACTTTTGTGCACAAGGAACAAAAGTAATCGTTTCCCAGTTTTCTAGGTGCTGGAAATGTCTCGTTTATCAAATAATTCTATCACATCATTTTTTTGTAAAAATTTGTAGTTAACGTTACAACAAGAAGGACTTATTAAATAGCATATCATAACTATAATACTTGTTGCAGAAGTTTTAATGCAATCAAAATTAAATATGTTGTAAGTATTTTTAGTTTAAAGGAATTGTTATATCGATTATAGTTAATAAGATATTAATAAGTAGTATAAGGTTTATCATACACATATAGTTGCGACATAGACTATTAAACATTAATTAAAGATATTATTTAATTACGTTGTTCACACTTATTAGAACGCCGAATATTAATCTAATAAATATAATAAAAAATATTTGACACTATAATAAACTAAAATAGTCCTACAACTTTATTCACAATTTTTTATTTAATTGCAATGTGAGAACGATTTGGTAAATGGAATCATATTCAGCGTCAAGAAAACTAAAATATGATTACCTTTGCTTTGATTTATATTTTTTAGAAATCTTTTATATACAGTATTTTTCAATTATAGTTTCATCATAGAGATCCAGGATTGGTTGGTCTGTTAACATCCGACCAAATCCCACCTGGAAGAATTGTTCATTTTGGCATAATCGCCGATGGGATTCATACTCATCCTGCGGCGTTGCGGATCGCTCATAGAACGCATCCCGAAGGTTCGCTATTTACTATATGCATCTATACTTTCTTATTTTATATAATGTATTATTACAATTTTAATAAAATTGAATTGTAAACATTTGTAGGTTTGGTGCTTGTAACTGATGCTATATCAGCGTTGGGTCTAGAAGAGGGAATCCATCAATTAGGACAGTTTAAAATAGAGATACGTAAAGGATGTGCATATATCGCTGAAACAAATACTCTGTGTGGTAGCATAACCGAGCTTTCCAAATGTGTGAGACACTTTAAAGAAGCTACAGGTAAATTAAATTATAATAATGAAAATAAATTATTTTATTTAGAGTAATACTTAGCAATGTAATTGTTCAATATAGGTTGCACAATAGTTGAAGCTTTAGAAGCGGCGACTTTACATCCCGCGAGAACTCTCGGTATCAATTCTTACAAAGGTGTTCTGAATTTTGGGGCCGACGCTGATTTCATATTACTTAATGAGAAACTCGAACTATTGTCAACATGGATTTCAGGAGAATGTGTTTACGAGAAGAATATTAACAGTTTTTTTTTGTGTAAAACAATTTGATGCTTGAATGTAAGTAGATATCTTGATATATAATATAAATCCAAATCAATTACTGTATAAAGCAAATGGATATATTTTATGACTAGACACTGTATAAAATGATAGTGAAAGGCTCATGAGAGATATTGTTATAATAAAAAGACTTAAGGCTTCTGAATAGTCATCACAGCCATATTGAATCGTGACGTTAGAAGTGAGTAATGACACGTACATTTTTTATTACGTGTCGTTTATAAAGACAATTTGGATAAAACAAAATGATGAGATTGCTTTGAAACATTTGTAAAAATGGACGAAGACTGTTCTTATCCCCATGATAGTCAGTAAATAATCGAAAAGGCGCACGTGTAAGCGGAAATAAGCTACACATGGGCATTAAATAAAAGCACTTCATGTGCCTTTTATCACTTTTTACGATTATTTACTGACTATCAAGGGGATCAGGGTAGCTTTCGTCCATTTTTACAATTATTTCCAAGCGATATTATCATTTCATTTTATTCAAATTGTCTTTATTCACAGGTTGCATGTAACAAAAATTAACGTGTCATTTCTTGCTTCTGACGTCACAATTCAATATGACTGTGATGACTATTTAGGACACTTAAATTTATTCTAGAAATTAGTTTTGTACTTATACTGAAATTTTTATATATCACATAGTTTTTTATTTAAATAATAAATTTATTTTTTTATAAATGGATATAAAGTTGTTATATATGTATATATACAATATGCAATATATAATATTATAGAGGAATATAGGTTGTCGTTAATGACCGAAAAGTCTAAATAATTAACAAGATATTAATGATGGCAAATAAACGACAAGAAACGAAACACGCTCGTTAACTATTGCGAAAATTGCAAAATGATGACAGGATTTTTCGACTCAATCCGCTTTACCTGCTCACGAGAGTTGATAGTCATTATCGTATACAGGGTGAGTCATTTTAATCTATGGACCCGAATATCTTCCAAATTACGGTATCTACAAAAAAATGGTTTAGATAAAAGTTGATCAGAACAGAGGGGGTCATTTAAATGTACCATTAGTTTTGACCTTGAGGTCAATTTTGAAGGTCATTTCAAGGTCACGATGGTTTTTTTAAATGGGACACCCTATTTTTGACTGCGGATTTCGAAAGAGCGGAAAATTTTACATCAAACTTGTCTTATAAAAAAATTGTTTTTGCGACCTTGGAAAGGTCAAAAATGAAGGTCAAATGCCTAAAAAATTTTTGACCTTTCCAAGGTCGCAAAAACAATTTTTTCATAAGACAAGTTTGATGTAAAATTTTCCGCTCTTTCGAAATCCGCAGTCAAAAATAGGGTGTCCCATTTAAAAAAACCATCGTGACCTTGAAATGACCTTCAAAATTGACCTCAAGGTCAAAACTAATGGTACATTTAAATGACCCCCTCTGTTCTGATCAACTTTTATCTAAACCATTTTTTTGTAGATACCGTAATTTGGAAGATATTCGGGTCCATAGATTAAAATGACTCACCCTGTATACAGAGTGTTAAAAAAAAAGTGGTTCCAAACTTTAGAAATATATAGTACTCGTGAAAACAAATCGAAAGATCTTAATAAGCAGTACTCTAAAAATAATTTATTTCCGAGTTATAAAGCATTTTCTGCTATAATGAATAATCCGTTCATTTCGAATATATGTAAATGTATTTACACGCAATCGCTCGTTATACACTCGTCCTTTACGAGCTTCTAAAGTTGACCCTATACGGTCAATAATACTGTCAATATTAACAAATACTGACAATATTACTAATCATATGTGATGGATTGACGTAGAGCTGCCTCCGTACGAAGTACCGATGAAGACGATTAATTCCTTTGAATTTTCTCTCTCAAAAAATTTTTTCATAACAAAATTTCTTTGTACTAACATTATTTCATATTTATGTAATGTAAAATGAATAATTTTCTGACTAAAAACTAAATTGTTTTTTTTTTCCCAAAAAATCGCTTTATTTTGATGTTTAAAAAATGACAATTTTCATTTCTCAAAATAATTAGGGTTTTATCAACGAGAGAGAGAGAGAGAGAGAGAGCATCTCTAAACTATTTTTTTTTCATGAAGAATTATACTTCAAGAACGTGAACCTAGGCAGTTTTTTTTCCACTTATTGAAAAATTATAATTTCTTTTTAACAATTAAAAAATTTCTATATTTCCTTTTGCTGTACAACATAATATTTAAAGAAAACAACATAATATTTCAGTTCAAAAACGTTTAGAATATAGTAGAGATGTAAAATAATAAAAAAAATTTTTTTTTCACAACTGATTTATTAGAAGAAATATAGTGCTGGCATAAAAGACCCATAGTTCATAAAGAGGGTTAATATCATATTTATATTTACGAAGGATGATGTTAAGTTTTATCTGTTTTTCAGCCAAAATGAAAAAGTTTCAAGATGTAAATTAAATATCATATTAAAGGCTATTTGAAGAAAGAAGGATACGAAGTTGTGTATCGTTTATTTCAAGGGAAAATATTTGACCTGTTCTTTGTAGCTGAACTTCTTGCACGGTTTATCCGTTTTCTTTTTTTTCCAACATGGAGAAAAAAAGAAGAATAAGATGAACCCTACAAGAAATTCTGCTAAAAAAAAAAACAGAACTATTAGGAAAAAACATGGAAAAAATCACTAATGACAAAATTCACTAAATTTAATGTTATTACATTTATTGATAAAAAGTAATTCAGACATTAAGACATTCCGGGCATTAAGCAACAAGAACTGTATGTTGTTAAACATGTATAATTTGTAAAAAATTTTTGAGCGATTGATGAGCATTATATTGTATTTGCTTGTTTTTTAGATTTGTTTTTCTTCCACGTTCACGCGATGTTACTTCATAATGTTACACCACTTGAATCCGTTTAAGTCCTCAATATGATATATAATTATCACGTTTATATCACAATAGCGTTATAATTTGTATCTCGGAATTTTTTGTTTTGGTAAAGAAACAACCAAAACTTAACATCCTCCTTTATACATATTATATTGCACATAAAGTTTCTTACATTAGTTGAAATATAACAAATTAAATGCTACACAAGTAAATAATATCGAAATGTTCATACTATGTATATATTGTATTATCTTAGATTTATTTGTAATTTCAATGTATATATTTAAATTTTTTGTTGTGTAGCATAATAAAGTTATATCTAATTGTAAGCATGATATATTTTTATTTATTCTACCAAAGTTTTTCTGCGGAATTAGTAATAATTAATACAGCAAAGAAACAAAAAGAAAAATATATAAAACTTGATTGTTCTTAAAATTTGTTAATTGATCATGTCAAATAATGGAAAAGACTATGCTTTAGTTAATGAATTACTAATTATTACTAATTGCTGAATTAACAAACTGCGTCCTTCAAATTACAAATATAGGGTGAATGCCTGATGCCAAATGTATGCGCAGGAGGAATGTCGAGAAGCACCTGAAATATGATAATAATTGCATTAATTAATTATGTATCATTATAGTATGTTAAAATATATTATTGAATATTATTACGTTACATTTTTCAATTCTAAGGGCTATGGTAGAAAACGAAACAGGACGAGATGTAATTGTCGTAATGTAGAAGTGGGGTTGTTACTGCAAAGAAAAATGTAGACGTACGCAATTGTGAAAGCCTATTGGGAAAGTACGTTTCGTTCTCTGCAATAGCTCTAGCAATGCGCTATTAGAATTACAAGGGATGGACAATAATGTGAACATTTGGAAAATATACTACTTGTTTTATTAATAAAAAGTTAGCACATAATTTCTGTTAACAGGAATATCTTTATTTTGGAATAGTCATACAACACTTGAATAATTTGCACTAGAGACCCTCTAATATGGCTTTTCTTTTGGGAGACACAGTCGACACAAGTGTCGTTCTATCTTTGTCACTCTATAAATGTCAAGAAGGATAGAACGATGCTTGTGTCAACTTGTGTCGATTTGTGTCATCAAATGGAAAGCAATGTATTAGAATCTGCGCATGAGAAAACTACTTTTGATTGATCTGCCATACACATATACATTATATACAATATTTATAGGGCGTGTATATACATGTGTATGTGTATATATATATACCTATATATATTATATTTAATGTAAAGTATATATAAATATATATATATACTTAATATACTATATTGAATATACATTATACATTTCAATAGATTTTGCTTTATCTACGCGGTACCTTTTCCGGGCAGTGTGCTCCAGGTCCTGGGATCCGCGAGTGATCGTCGGGCAGGGAAAAACGCGCACTCATGCTATATGCTGGACTCTTCACTCTGACCGTGTCTGATTTAATGCACTCGTATGCACCCGGTCCAGGTACGAGAACACGATCGTCCGTAAAGACTTTTTGTCTACCGGATATTGAATAGGCAGGTGCTGCTTTCTTATTACCCTCTTTAGTTCCGCCGAGGGCAGAAGGAATGTTATAAATATTAGGTGCTGAAATTTGATTAATCTATTTTCTTCTCTCAGAATTTATAATTCTTTCATTATTTAACAATCTTATCCACCATTTACGTCGTATTCTTTATTTTTTTTTTTTACATTTTTTTAGTATAGTCCATAGCATATCTTCACGTGAAATTACATTTCTGACAAAGATTTGCATCTCATTAAGTATTTTACAGAGTATGAAATGTACGAATAAAAATCGTCAAATTATTGATGAAAAGCAGAATGATTAAATACATCAATTTTTATCTATTGTAAAACTAATTATTGCGATTCTGTATTTCATGCATTTCTCAATATACGCGAATAAAATTGGGGCTATAGTAACATGCTTTATATATAACATGCATATCATATTTACCGTAGATGGAATTGATTAATTATTTACCTGGAACATCGTTTGATCTGTTCAAGGACGGTCTGAGGCCGAAAGTAAATTGTAACGCTTTTTCCAATAAAAGCATTGTCTTTTCTGGATTGTACTCGCCAGGACCTAGATTGTTTATTGAATGATAGATTAATTTAGATAATAATTTGTGCATTACATAATAAATTATAAGAACTTAGAGGTGAACAAATTCTCATAATGTCTCCTAATGTTTTACAGAATTTTTCACATTTTAAATTTATGAAGATTTCTAAAATAATATCTTAAAATTTCTTCAAATTTTATAAGTTTTCTTCAGAAATTATGAGAAATCTTATAATATATTAAAATTTAAGATATAAAGAATTCTAAAAAAAATATTAGACTTTTTTATCATTTCTAAAAAATGTTTCAATTCGTAAAAAAAAAATCAGAGAAATTTTCTAAAATGTTATAAAATTTATATTAAATTTTAAAAAATAAAGAATTCTAAAAAAAATTTTTACAAAAGAATATAAAATTAGATTATTAACGTAAAGGAAACAAATTATGAATAACTAATGATAATGTAACCCACCTGGTATAGTATTTTTCTCATAGATTTCAGTTTTAATTCCAAAACTATATTGCGGCGACTTTGACATGTTTATTTTTTCAGGACTGTATGTACCGGGAGCTGCAAAATAAATTATAAAATGCTTTTGTATA